ATAGGGATAGACGATGCGAACTCTATAGATGCTAGAAGGACCTTAGATAGATCGAGAACATATGTAGGCTTCTGCGATTGTGGCGCTCCTCGCGTGATACTGGGCCACTACTAGATTTCAAATTCAAACACTAAATGAGAGCAACTTGTCAGCGGCTAACTACCCGCATTATAGACGTTCGTACAGCTTAAGCGCGGTTAAGATTTGAAATCAAGTACCTGCCCCGTACGGGACGAGGAGCGGTCGTTCTGACTGTGATCCTGGAAGCCTGTGTCTGATTAAATACACAGTGGCTTTCACTTCATTCTACTAATCTGGCTGGTTTATCTTGTTGTGGTAGTAAATAGAATACACTGTCATTACAGTTTTTTTTTGTTTTATATTACGATAAACCATTAGACCTAGGTTAACAGATGTGCCTTTAAGGTGCGACGGGTTTGAAAATTTGTTAACAGTTCTGTGTTCAGTGGCCTTATTTTTTAGCTTGGTCAAATATTTTGGCTTCAATATAGAACATTTGTGTGCATGTTGTGTACTGCGCGCAGCTGAGATACACACACTTCAGAAGTCTCTGTTAACCTAAATGAAGTATACTATTCTGAAAATTGCCGTCCTCCAGCACTTTCGCCTGAAAATGTAATTTGGTTTCCTTTTCACTATCAATTCGATTCGCTAACTCACTCGGGTTGTTATTTCATCAGACGAGAAAGAGGACCAGATTGCTTAAATCATTTCGTGCGTTTGGCTCAAGGGATCGATTATTCTATAGTACCGTATCTCTTGGGCTATATTTGGGAGCTGTCTGAGCCCTCAAAACCCCTATACTTTGAAACTTTTTACTTCCACGCGCTGTTTGACTATCGATCGTAAAATTGAGTGCTACATCGACAAGCGTAGTAGGACAGAGCAAGAGATGCAGTACAGACAAGTTGCATCAAAATCGGCTATTTGTTACTAGAATACTTCCGTAATTTAGGCCCACTTGCCATAATGGGTGGAGTAAAGTAAAAGTCTTTAGACAGTTTGAGGGACTTTATTTCACGTCTGTGCAATTTATATATATATATATATATATATATATATATATATATATATATATAAGAGACTTTTGCCTTAATCTGTATATATACGTATATATCATCTGATCTAATATTGGAACATTAGTATCATAAGCTTCACAATGTTTTATAAGATGGTTGACTTTATGAGAAAGGTGAAAAGAGGCTCATATGTGGGTAAATAATTTTCATGTTTAAAATTTATTAAGAAAAATTCTGATGATTTAAATTGCGCATGTCAGCAACACTACTTCCATATTCAGAGTCTTTCTTCGGTATTTAGCAAGAAATTGTTAATATACCATAGACTCAGAAGTTAGTAATTTATCAAAATTATATTAATCCACGAACTGTTATTGATGATAAGTAAAAATTGAGCGCAAAACTATAAAATGAGAACTTTTCATCATGCTGCGTAAAAACTCTGCTTTTGCAAGAATAGCAAAGATGATTACGATATCTCGTCATGCTGGAGTCAATGCGCGGCCTCATGTGGAGCTGATTCCAAGCCACTTATTTGCCCGCGTGGTCCTAAAGTCAAGCGTTTACATGTCCAGGCGTACCGGTGAGTTTGCAGTAAGTTAACTGTTATTAGTTAATTCGGCTACTTGAACGCCTTCAGAGATGAGAACCTATTTAAAAAAGAAAAAGAAATTTATTTGGGAGCAATAACGAAAGGAGGATTTTTTGTTAAACAGAATCACGGCTGAATGCAAGAAGCAAACTGCAGGGACCACGCGATGTGCTCAGACTCGGCCTGTGGACAAGGGTGTATGATGTGCCATTTTTATTCATTTGCTGAGCAATCTCAGTCTGTAAAATGTACTTTTTGGGACTGAATTGTATACTGACGAACGACTCTCGAACGAGATAGGTTTAAGATCACATATCTTAGGCAATATGGGTCGCGTTGATTTGGGGTCTGTCTAATTTGAGATCTGACGTTTGGCAGTAATAGAATATTATTCAACTAAGTAAAATCGAAGATGAGTGATTTTGGTGATTGATACCTTTGATGGGACTGAGGAATCGTGCATTACGGATCGCTGCCAGCTAGTAAGCTGATTGATACGTGATTCTACTGTCAAAGATCAACGACATTATCACAAGCGATTGACATAAATTAACCCTGGAAAAAGCACTGTCGTTTACCATAACAATGGCAGCCCATATAGTTACTTAGCTACCCGATAAAAATTTAGAGAATTACACTGGGAAAAGGTTAAATATTACATTAAAATCTGTTTTAGCCCATGAAAAACTCTTCTAATGGTGTTTCTCTAAAGGAATGCAAAAGTCACTTGTGACAATTTTTTGCTAAGAAACCACAAAAGTTCGACAGTAATCGGATCATGGCATCACCAGAAAAATGGCAGAAGGTTACATATCAAAATTGTATACTTAGTTTACTACGTTGCTAAACTAAATGAGTCCAGTTGGGTTCTAGGATGCCAACAACCATTTTCCATGTCAGTGAAATGCCACCGAAATACATACAATTTGGGTTTTTTTGCACATGTATAATGTCAGTCGCAAATGAGTCACCATAACACTTGCTTTTACATGAGACGCACTCGAAAACGAGCGTCAGCCATTATCGCAAGTATTATAACAAATGCTCTAGGACAACATAAGACGATTTTACGAGTTTGCCTGAGCTTGGTTAACCCCATAGGAGACAATTAGATATTGTCCTAGAGCCTATGCGATACTTATCCAAAACGTCAAGTTAAATGCATATGAAGGGGCACGAAAGGTGAACTTTTAATGAGACGGACGCAGCTGAGAGTTGAAAAGAATCGGTTTGTAATGAATTCATTATTCAGTATTAGTAGGTCCAAGTTACGGCAAAATCAAGCCTGTAGTTGAAGTAGCATGTGCTTCAACCCCAAACCATTTTGCTAACACTAGAAGGTTTTTTCGAACGGTAGGCATTTGCCTTTCCCTCTGCGAAGCTACTCTTGTCCAGCCTTTAATACTGCTCCCACTTCAATCAGATTGAGCATAATGGACACGGGTCCGATAGCCATAGTTTTGAAGACAATTGCTCGAGCTACGGGTGAAATACGTTGCTTGCTCTTGGAACAAATGGTTATGTGCTTTGTACCCACGTTTTAGAACGTAATGAGCGTTAGCTCGATGCACATGCTTTTGTAGAATTAACGCCTTCCATGAGAAACAATGTGATGTCTTTCAACGACACGTTACGAGTGCGAAAACTAATGCAAGGTTTTGGAAGTCTATGCAACAAGAAAACCGTCTGTCCATATAAGGTCTGAGACGAACATCTCAGGTGCGCGGTTGTTCTAGTACCGTGCTAGATGGCGCCATTTAATTAATTTTTGGTGCACTTCCAGCCCAGTAGACAGATGCCACTCTGATATTGGTTCTTAAAAAGAAGGACGATCAACTGCGTTGTCATAATGCTTGTTATAAGCCGCTTTCCTGCTTGCTGATTAATAGACTGAGTAGCACACCTAGAATGTATACACGCTGTCCCAACGGAATAGCGTGGGTTGTACAGAGAACGCTCCACAAAATGGCGTGCAAAACTCTGACGGCCGAGAGCACAGGCACCAGACAATCAGCCGAAAACATATGGTGTATAAATGATTTAGTGGTGTACGGGTCGCACAAGTTCCAAGTGGACGAAGGCCTAGCCCGACTCTACGAGGAAGCTATAGGTTTGAGGTTAACTGTTGCCAGGTCGCTTCTTGTCTATGTAAACCAGTTACTGGCACCGGAGATTGCTCTTCTCCGCGAACGGCAGAATTTTCGTTGTGCACTGCGCCAAAAGACGCAAGAAAGCAGGCTAAGCTGTATGGGCGATCAAACCACGTCATCGATTGTTTCCCGCAATCACTTTCATCCTGTCCGATTTCAAGGTAACTCCAATGGTAACGTATGGGACACTCGTCATATGGCAATATTCAGTAGATATTATAGAACTTTAAGAAACAGAATCGCGTCAAAGCTTCCTTTTTTCAAAGAGCACTAAGGTTACACGTAGTGACCCGAAATCGCTTTTCGTGTATCTTAGCCAATCGGTCGGTGCTGTCTGAGGGCCTACGTCGTCGCTTTGAGCTCCTAGCCACCGAAGCCTTCAAGACGAAACTGGAACCAAAATTCGTGTAAATTAATGGAAATGTGTTTGCTTCTGATGCGGTGAAGAACAACGAGCGGAAAGGGCCGAACGGAATAAATAGACACGTCATCACTCATTGTCGTCCATGGGCTCCATCATAAACTTTGCAAGAAACCAGGTTTTTATGAGCAAAATATATATGATGCCATTTGTTGTCCCGTGGCGTCTTGGACATGTGTTAGGACATTTGTTTAATCTCTTGAATTAGAATTTTGTAAACTCATTAAACCCGCATGATTCGCACAGGGTGTTCAATAATTGGGGTATTGTGTTGAAGTTTTTCGCTATTATCCGCGAAGTTAAACAAGTGAGATTTGATTGACCGCTCACGCAGAAGCGTCCAAGCATCCGTTTTTCGAAGTTTACTTCTTTTCAAATTTCAATTAACACAGCCTACAGTTGTTAAAAAAATTGTTAAGATTGTTGAGCTTCTTTCTCTTAGAATTACAGTAACTATGCGTTACCTATAATAATTAATCTAGTGGCCATAAAAGACACACGAACGGACTTGAATGGGTCTCGGTCATATGGCTGTAATTTCTATATGTAAGTATACACGCAACGTTCAGTTACCCCCTTACAACGAGATGCTCCAAGGTGCGCAGACATTTTTAGATGATTGAGATCAACACCGGTAAGCCGTCACCAGTAGACACCGACAATGATTGTCAATCAACATTATCCGTATCACAATCTTGATATAGTACGCGATTATCATTACATCGCACTCCTAGGAAGCTGCCTCCTTCGTTCTCCCTGTTGCCGGTTCCCCGTCTCGCGTTTTTTTTTGCAGCTATTCGATGGCGCACCGGCGGTTAAGGTGTCCAAAGGGACACTGCTTTACATCACTTGTGGAAGAAGGTAATAACAAGGCAACACAAAGCTCGACGGACTCCTTCGAACGCTGCATCAGCTCCTACTAATCGTGCGTTCAGCGGCCAACGCTTTCTCTGGCGTCTGCGTGGTCATTGTCCAGTGTTAGTGTGCGACTCTAAGAGATTCTCCAGTGAGTACGTAGGAACAAGCGCCACAGTTCCTTCTCGATTTTAACTAAAAGTGGTGAGATCAATTATTTGTCCCTTTTATTTTCGACAGAAATCCTTAAGCGACCCTGACTCACGCCGCCAGGGGCGGTGGATAGCGTCTCGATTTTTGCTGGATCACGCCTCGCCTTTATGTGCATTGGTGCCAGTATTGCATAGTAAATATCGTTAATATATAGTATAAGGAGTAGTTAAATTCAAGGTAAGCATTTTTCGTACTGTTTTTTCCAGTTAGTGCCTCGATAGAAAGCGCTTTGTTTTTCATCGATTACTGATTTAGCTTAAAACCGCGTGAAGTCACCCTTTACAGTCATAGTTTCAGTCTATAAAACTTAGCCTATCGGTAATTACGCCTTGTGGGGCACAGGATGATACAGACTCGGTGGTCTAGGGTTCTGGCAACCGAAGACCAACTAGTTGTTTGTATCCTCGAACATGGCACGGATACTATTAGCTTTGGTGACGTAATCCGGTTTTCTGTACGCTGCTGTACAAAAGCGCTATTATAAAATTTTAAGCTATCGATTCTTGGTGACAAACAAATATTTACACGATTGTTATTTTATGCCCATGCATGCTTTTATCCTCGTCAATACAATCGTCAGTGGGCAAATCAAATTTTTTTCTCTACCTGTTTGTAGCCGCTGCATTAACATAGGAAACACAAAGAGATTACTAGCAGTAAACATGCCGGGAGCAAACGAACTTTCCAAGCTTCCCGCTCCTAACGAGATCGTGATTCTCAGCGGTAACTCACATTTGGATCTTGCCCATAAAATTGCAGCGTAAGTATTATATCATTAAAAGATCCCTAAGGACAATCCTGAGACTAGCCACTTAAGGTAAAGAACGTTTGCCTATTGCGCGCATTATTATTCGATAGCAACTACATAGTCACCCCATTTTTAAGCTCTTGCATTTTTATAACTATCTGTGTTCGAATTGTGTAGTTATTATTATTTCACGTACCCTCTAAATAGAAAATAGTTTTTTTTTCTCTCGATAGCCAACCTCTTCATAAAAATTTATCTTCTATGTACTACTTATTAGATCTCGTTTTAATCGAATGACTTTACTTTTGAACCATCTACGTACAAACTTGTCTTTCGTCTTCTCAGCGGCCTCGGTACGAAGGTTGGCAAGAGTAAGGTTTTACACTTTGCAAACAAAGGTCAGTAGATCCGCACCGACGTTTTTCTATTCTAGGTACATGTAAGGTAAATAAATTGTAAATGGTCGTGTAATAATAGAGCTTTTTCATACTCTATGATATAAAGTTCGTGAGATTTATTTGAAATCCGTGGCTAACTATACGTTTCGTTTAGGCTAGACAGGGTAATCGTCATCTACAAAACATACCGACATTTACGGCGTCTAAACCCATTGCGTGAACACGAGCTCAAAAATATGGCAACACCCACCACTGGGTCATGTAGATTAGTTTGTAACATGTTGTTTTGAGACCCAGCCCCTATGTATCGCTGGCAGGTATTTTAGTGCAGTCAATCAGGTTTAATGATCAGTCAGTCCTAACAATATCTGTTATGTGTCCATTTTAGAAAGCGCGATTGATGTTGATGAATCAATCCGTAGTCGAAATGTATATCTAGTCCAGTCCGGATCGACGAAGTAAGTAAAGCACCGCGTAGGCATACACACAACTCAATCTAGCATCCGTATCGGCGTCCATCTATATTTATTCCTTGACTTTTTAATTTTACACAGATTGTGTGCCTTTGGGAAGGGGCTCGGACATGGGGTACTTAACTCCATTGGCAGAGATGAGAGGCTTTTTAGGTCAATGCGACAACAGCCACACACTAAACGACATAAAATTTTACTGCATACTATAAATTTCAAAGTGGTATAGCACTACAGTTATCATTATGATGCTCCTACGCACGCTATGTTCCATAGGAATAGACGCGTACAAAGTTGAACTTATTCCTGATTCAACAGTTGAACGTCTAATTGAAAAACATCAAATAGCCGGCAGCATTTGTTGCGTTGCATGTTAGTACTTTTTTACCTCAATGTTTAACCTAATGATCCTGGATAATCCTATTTTCCAAAGCCACAAGGCCAACACTATTTGGCATTGGACCCTCTCAAATCAGCTCCTCTGTCTATGAAATGCTAACAACGTTTGATATATATATAAAATGCATTACCTTCCATTTGGTCATGAATACGCGAATCGCTTCTTCGTGTTCATTGTGACGCATCAACGTTTCTTGTGAATTTCCGCACAATGCATGGAAGCGAACAAAATTAAAATAAATTATACTTAACTGCCATACGCAAATTTTCAGAGACGTAAACAATTCCATCATGGAGTTACTTATCATGGCGTACTGTTGCAAAACTTCAGCCGCTCGAAACGTCGTAGCCGTGGTCCCTTATTTTCCATATTCGAAGCAGAGTAAGATGACTAAGAGAGGATGTATCGTGTCGAAGCTGTTAGCAAGAATGATGGTCAATGCAGGCGTAAACCATCTTGTAACCATGGATCTGCACCAAAAGGAGATTCAGGGCTTCTTTGACATACCTGTTGATAACCTTCGTGCTAGCCCCTTCCTTCTCCAATACATCAAACAAAATGTAAGTGTTTGTTATATAGTAATTCTCGGATCGTTTTTAGTCGTTGAAGATGCATTGGAGACCGTTTAATCAAGTTACCACGAAATGCGTAATTTGTTAGGAAAACTATCATAATCACAGGGATTGGCTATCCTCGTTCGGCACTATTAAGTTACCGATTTATTATTAAGTTACCGGCTAAGTTACCGATGTCCAGAATCGCTTTACTGAATATTAAACTGGATAGCTTTCTTTTATTGTACTTGCACGGATGCAATCTATAATAAAATATCGAGTAAGCCGTAAAAGACGTGTGTCTAACAACCGGATAAGTGCTGTATTTTTTTTTCGTTGTTAAATATGTAATGTACGTTTTTCTAAATCAAACAATGACAGCGGTGAAGTAAAAAAGGCCTTTCTAAAGAAAAGGTAACGGAAACAATCTCGAATACTCACAAACTAAATAAGTCAGCGAAGTTCATTTTTGACATAAATTTGTTTGTTCTTGGAAGTTTGATTTGACTGCAGTTATGACGCGCCAGACATGAGCGTAGCTGCTGCGTAATACTCTGTTGATGAAACATACGCCATTTGTTCTGCTTAAAAAGCTGCTATTTCCCGTTGGCTTATACCGATTTCAGATGAAGCTTAAGGAGCATCATATGTCTTCCGTCACACTGGCATTGACTTCAGTTGACTCTGGCTTAGTCCTCAGATTACATCTTGGCAGGTTCTTGAAATATAAATGTCTTTTGGATTGGGAAACTTTAAGCCGCAATATACAGCCACCGCTAAGTTAGGAAACCCTTCCCAACCTTAACACCCTTACAATTTCATCACCTGTTTTGCTCATTTTATATTATTTAAGGAAATTTTTTTATTCTTTTTTTTTATTATTATTCAACTCCCAACATGGCTCATAATGCTTTTAGTTTTCAGATTACACGAAAAAATCGTTTGACGATATAATAAATATTTAATAGTAATATGGGCAATTAGTCGATATATCTGTTATTATAAATATCGATAAAAAAGGACTCACCTTTTACTTGTAACCTATCCTGTACTGAGACGGACAAAATTACACGATTTACAACGTTTTTAAGAACACGCTTCTTCAAATTAAGTCAGTACTGAGTAAAGTTGAATTATATTATTACGTGCATCGAACGGGCGTTCACAGAGGGTTACGCTACCGAATTTTAGAGTCCGATGCCAGTTCAGGCTGTGTTACTAGCCAGGTTAGTCCAATTGGCCTTTTGAAGCTAGGCGCATTAAATTTAATATTCCTATGCATCACGATTGTGGTACGCGGTACTGCGGCAGGTGACTCCCATCAAACATACGTACAATAATTTCTTTTTTGTATTTTCGGTATGTATTAAATCTTGTTTTTGCCAGTATTTTCGATAGTCTAAATAATTCAAACAGATTATAGGTCTCGGATGGGAATCGGCTTTAAAGACTCTTATTTGTGAGCCCAATCGACGATTCCTCAGCCATCGCAAAAGTTTTATCAACTTAAATCAAACTGCAACGTCAACAAAATGTCGCTTCACAAAGATTAAATGAGTGATGTAATTCTAGAAAAAAATAAATTAGTCACAGGTACAATGCTTGTAGTTGAAAACAATTCATTCACGTTCGATCGACCCTTTGAGATCAGATTCTATAGGTAATAATACTTCGTGAAAGTTCCACGAAGTTCCAGGAATCTCCAATCCCTTTAGATAAAAGAAGTTTCCAAACCGATGGGTTATATTTTTCATGAACCATCTGGGACCATCTACGTCGTACGTCAAAAGCTTTTTTGGGGTTTGTTTTTTTTCAATCGCATCCGTTAAATACGTTGGCGAAAACTTCCTAGATTTAAAAAATTATTTTCTCGTGGTGCTTTCTTGTTGTTTCTGTAATGATGAACGTTAGGCACAACAAATATGCGCCGCAGATTTACCGTGCGACCAAAGCTTTTATTTATGCGCACAAAGTGACAAACGGCAATTTCGTTTGGTATTTTCAGTTCTAGCGTAAGAAAGTGGACTATATTGCAGTAGAGCTTTTTATGCGGTTTACGTAATGGGGGTATTTATTGCATACTAACATTTATACTCGTTGAAGGGGAACGGGTAACGCTCTGCGGACAAACATTCATCCATACTAACGATAATAGTTTGAGTCTTCATACTCCCATGAGTAGAATGTGCAGATATTTCTTAGAGATGTAACGCTGGCACGTTCTATTAAATCATTCAAATCAATTAGGAACATGCTTCTCTTTATAAACTCTTTGTTAATAGTCCGTTACGTCTACTTCTAACGTTTTTTTTCCACAATAACAGATACCCCCTATTTTCTAAATAACATCTAGTAGACCATTTCGGTATTCTTAATTATCATTGTAGGCAACAACACGTCCTTTAGGCACTGTAAACGGTAAAATCATGCCTAGGATTAAATTATTTTCATCGATAGTGATTGCCACTCTATCTAAGCTTCAATATCATACAATAATGTATAATGGCTCTACGACAAATAATATTCGTAGAGCTCTACGATGTCTATTGTTTATGTCTGGCAAAACGCCGATAGAAACCATCGTTTTTTAGATATTGCATAGCATTTCCATGCAATAAAATCATTACGTATCATTATGCAGGGCTCGCTCTATGAGCACATCTATTAGTCGCATTAAGGAAGGGAATATTAGAGATGAATTTTCCCAAATACCGTATTGAAACTCGCGAAACACGGGCCGACAACCGTCGCGACAAGAGCATAAAAAGTCTAAGAAGAACGAAACGACACGTTTCAGGAAATAATACCAGCAAATAAGTGCCGGATAGGCCGCCGTAAGGTGAATTGACCTTTTCCTAATTAATGGTTTCTGGAAAAAGTCCGGTAGCCCGCTCAATTTATTATACGTTGATAGTAACGTCTAATCCCACCTAGAATGGAATAGCCTAAACGATACTAAATGCAGTAGATATGGTCAGATGGATAAGATTACTACTGCCACCTATAATAGTTTGCTTTACCAGACCCGAACCAGCTGTGAATCGACATGGCATAGAAAGATACTTCGCGTGAAACCTTTTCATATGCAGTTAGAAACCCACTCCCGGTTAAAAACCTGGCTCCTCACGCCTACCACTGAAAAGGTTTTTGTCATACCTCCAAAAATGTTCACGCGAAATTCGCTAGCATTTCAGCCCTGATGCATCTGATGGTCCGCGTACTACATTTGTCTGCAAATCATACCGCCCCCTCATTTGTTCCTAATCAAGTTCTATTTAAGAATTACATTAAGAGAAGCGATAATTTTTTGCTAATTAGCTCTAAAATATGTCAAAGCTATGGACAATGAAAGCCCGGACACCGTAGCTGCCTGTATGTTTCGAGTTTTACGTCCGGTATCCCAACACGGAACGAAGGCCGTGTATGTCCGGATTTAGACCACAACGCGTCCCTAAGATTAGTAGGTTAATATGTTGCCCACTACACCTTGATGACCTGCATCTTAGCAACTCGATTTCGGCTGTTGCCGTCAAAGGAACTTGTCTGTGGTAAGACGGTAGAAAACGCATTTATCGCACATTTTCCTCGTAGTAATAACCCTTTGAAATTGGATTGTGGCTTGCGAATCGTCAGAGTGGAAACTATTGCAACAGATCCATTTCTTCGATAAATGAAACTAAAAAATCGTACGTTTACATTAACCGATAGCTAAAACACCCTGCATGAAATGAATATGACGTTCAAAGTCACTGCTTTAGCCAAAATTGGTGGATAGGGCAAAAAGGAAATACTCGTCTTCTATTGCAAACAGTCTTTCCACAACATTAGTCACAAATGAAAAGATCGACTCGCTAGCTATGTCGGGAAGAGCTAATATTGCGCGTGTATAAAAGACGACTGTATAGTCAACAAATATAGTGGTCTGTATATCGGCCTAGGACATCCAGATATTCTCATATTATTAGGGCACGTTAATATTGCAGCTAAAATAATTTAACATTTATTTTCTTATCATAATCTAGTACTGGTGAACTCCTGTGATAAATATAAATAAATCATTATGCACATACCTCAGATCCCGAACTATAAGAACTCCGTGATTGTGGCACGCGTCCCAGCTCAAACCCAAAAAGCGTCATCGTTCGCCGAGAAACTTGGCATCGGCATGGCCGTTATACACTCGAAATCTGCTGACGAAGAGGTAATGCTTTTGTTTAGTTGGGAGTGAAAGTTCTCCATAACGACTAATTGAGGATTCGATAAAAGCAAAACACATTAAAATTTATGCTCATCTGCCATTTTTTTTTTGTATATGCTATATGCCAGCAATTTTCTTATAGTACTGCAAATTCATCCTTATTCTCAATTCTGAAATAGGCTTCTCTTATGCTGTTCTGACGGTATTTGTGTGTATCGCACATGTGGTTCTAGAATTTTTCCTAGCTGAAATTTCTTAATAATTTAGTTGGATGTAAGCAAGGCCTGCTGTGCTCAAAGAACATGTCAATACAACAAGAGTATGAAATTTCATTCGACAGGTACAGGATGGCCGTTATTCCCCGCCGCTAGAAGCTACCCGGCGCGTGTCGGAGTGTTTTGACGGGAATATACCAGCCACCAGTGTGTCAACTGTAGTCGGAGATGTTACCGGGAGGAACGCTATAATGGTATACCTTCGTTTCTATTGAAATCACTTAGAGTATAATAACGAACTTCTACGGAAACCCTACACGAGCAAATATCACAAAGACACGAAGAAATCAAGCCCACTTAGGCGTATGGGTTCCTAAGACTTGTTCCCTGTCTCTCACCCATCTGCCGTTTAAACTACTGTAGTGTTCTATATTGACTTGGACGATTCAGCAACTATTACAGAAGACCGAAAGTCCCATATATCATAATATTTGTTTTTGTGATACAGGTAGAAGACCTGATTGATGACATTGAAGCGTTTGTTAATGCAGCGGCATTTCTCAAGTGTTACAGTGTCCAAAAGATTTATGTTCTGGCCACCCATGGAGTGTTGTCCTCGGACGTCGAGCTCCTTGAAGAATCCGCCATCGATGAGGTGAATGAATATTTTCCGGCATCCGTACATTTTGTAACATGTTCTTAAATAGAAATTATCGGTGTTCAGGATCCCGCTGATTTTCAAGTATTGAATTCGATAACCTGTTGACTAGGGATGTCAGTCAATTGCAGTTTTCGTCAGACTGCTTTGGGGCCAGATGGGCTCAGCGAATCTGACATACGTTTTTCAACAAGGTAGTTTATGGAAGCTAAAGCGTGCTGCAGATTAATATAGTTTTGTCAATCATGTGAGAAAATTGTACATGTGACCTTTGTAGGTGATTGTGACAAACACGGTCCCTCATGACCACGAAATGGCCAAGATGGCATCTAAAAAAATTAAAACTATAGACGTCTCCGTCCTGCTGTCGGAAGCCATCCGTAGGATCCATAACAAGGAGTCGATGTCCTACCTGTTCCGTAACGTAGCACTCAACGACTAAAGCTATCACATGGCTTCTGCCGATGCTGGGCGAACTCGTACAGCCTCCTCCATTTCCCAAGTTCGCCTGCCACATATTCCGAGCGCTAAATGAGACGAACTCCTTACCGGTTCCAGCACTTCTATTACATAGATGCAATCTATTGTATCGTATCGCAACTAAAATATTGCATGTTATTACGTGTCAATCTGATTTCTTGCTAGCTATATATTATTAATATATAGCTAGCAAGAAATATATATAATAATAGCTATATATAATAATAATATTTACCGAGCTAACTAAACTAATCAGATGATACCTCGCTATTTTCTCTTATCGCTTCTCCTCGCTTATAAAATTCCCAATGGTACATTGGTATTGCGGGTACGGCTAGTACAGTACCATGTAATAATAATGAGAAAGGTATATAACGCTCCGTTGTTTAACTCATGACGGAAATAGCGTGTAACCTTTAACAGCGGTAGAGGTAACGACCTCATTGATGAAACTGGCCGCTTTGCTTATTTTTTGGTCATGGCATCAGAGTTTTATCAGAACGTTATAAAACGCTCTCGGACTTGCCTTCGACTAGGACATCGACACTATATAAGTAAATTGATCCAGCCTCTCTAGAATAGATGATTAAGCATAAATAGAAAAATAGTAAAAGGCTTTTAATGGGTAAATATATAAATTAATTGCTATTGTCAGCTAACTATATCAATAAATTCGATCTTAGTAACTATACCTTTAACAATATATCAAAAGGTAACTATCCAATAGTGAAAACAATCAATCAATCACATTTGTCGACTATTCCGTGATTGCGGAACAGAAGGTAACCCGTTAAGAATAAACCGAAGTACGTAATTCGGTTATCTTTGTATACTTATTTATATTGTATCAAATAATATGCCTCGCGTAGATGAAATAGTGCCGAACAAAAGCAAGCCTCGACGTGTTATTGCTGTACATGTACAGCCATCCTATATAGGGTGAAGGGACATAATGTTACAAAAGAATGACAATGCTTATATTTGAATGAAGCTTTTGTGGAATCTGGCACACGCTTAGCGGGTTGTGCCACAGGGGTGTTGTTCCTCGTGGCAAGGGTAGGAGCATTACGATAGTTCTAGCCATCTCAATTCTTTATCTGTTTTGCTATTAAAGTATTATGACCGCACCGCTTTCTATCTAGCTAGAAAGCTTGAGATAGATTGGGTATTTTCTAACGGTAGTGGTTTCTCGATATTGCTTAGGTTGATCTTGTACTGGATCGGGCGTTAAAGGCTCGGATAGGCCGTTCTAGCGAATTCATCATCAGTCTTAAGAACTGTATTTAATAAACCCGTCTGAGCTATTGGGATGGGAACTGTTTGTGGCTAGAAGTGTATTCCGTTGTTTCCGGCTGACACAGCTGCGCTTTGTTCCTGTCGCTTTTTAGCATTGAATTGTTTTTTCCCATTTGAAAAATAAGCGTATTTGTATATTGAGACTCAGAAAAATAATAAATGAACTACTCCTAGACCGTACTAAGGGCTAATGACGCTCTTATATGACGCGCTTATGTTACGATAACGATAGTTTGCTTTTTTAGCACAAGATCTCGCGGTTCAAGGCGTGCGGTATAATTTACGTACGGAAGGATTCTAAACTAGCGACTATAGTTTGTTTAGATGAGCTGACACAGTTTCAACTTTTATTAATTGAACTCTGCTGCCAGACGCCGTTTCCTCGTGTCGAAGAGAAAATAGATATTTTCAGTTCCATTGTACATAGATCGTTCAGCTGACAGCAGGCTGGCGACGCTGCGTCATCCGTGGAACAGCGAGACCAGGACGATTCAGCTTCACGTTGAAATGGAACAGCCGTCTACACGTTACTCGCAACGAGCTTTTTCAGACTCACATCGATCCTTTAGTATTTTCCAGAACCTCTCTCAAAGCAAGCTTCTTTCAACGGCGATCTTCCATAAGACAATTTGTTTAGGAAGTACTTTCTCCAGTCCTGAAACCTGACGTCCTACTTCAACGTGGCACCCATGACACAGAGGGTTCGCGCAAAAATACAGTTACAAAAATCGAACCTGCCCAAAAAATAGAACAAACTTTTTGAGAAGCAAATAAATAAGAATCTTGAGGACGTAATGCTTACATGGTGGCAGTAAGCCTTCGCACTGTTAAAAGGCCGCTGTTGACCTATTACTCGTATGACCGTATACCTCTTAATCGTCCGAAGGGTAATGGATCCACAAGCATGTCAAAGGGTAGAGATATTAGAAGCGAAAAGAATGACAAATAACCAGCTTCAAATGTTTCACCATTACACAACTGAACTAATACAGGCGTGTTACGTCAAACTTATGCATTATGCATTCTTCCGTAGTGTTTTGCTTTCCACTTAACGCGTTATTTGTCTGCTGTATAAACGCGGTTCAGTCAGATTTGGTAGAGTTTTACATTCCAAGTCCTAAGATAGGTCAAGAAAAAAGTAAGGCCATTTATTCTCTGACCTGCCGTATCTTGAAACTAGCTGTCCGAATAAGTTTACACTAGCCAGTCGTAGATATAGCTCTGAATGTTCCTTCAGTGATTATATTTTCTGCATAGCAAGTTTCTGAGTCACACATCTTGCAGACAGAGAGGCCAAAATAGGCCGGCTTGGGCTGATTATTACTATTTATTATTATTTTTTTTTATAATTACTGAGTAGAAATTAGTAGATCAGAAAACGATTATGCCGTTAGCCAATTACATAAATGGTTCGCTAAGATACCCGACCATCAAAAATTATACCCCACGAAAAGTATGTACATAGTACCCTTCAGCTCTAAACTTCGTTCTAGTTCTAGCGACAAGTATGTCAGCACCTCATGCGCAAGCACTCGTTGTACCCTGAACAGTATTCAATATCAACTCCATTGCGAAGGTCTTCCATAAGTAGATCCAATTAGATTTGTCAAATGCTTCTGCCAGAATAAGAGCAAGCTTATCCGTCCTGGCTATGGATGCTTCCTACTCGGCTCCGGTAAGGCCACGACACGAACTAAGAGTTAGAAGTTGAAAGAAAATTGAAAAAATCACTGATTACTAGTGTAAATCAACTAACTTCGAACAATTTGAATAACTTTACGGCTGAAAGAAATGGCTCGTCGGTAGCCAGTAGGGTATGTCTTATCATGCTTACAGGCAATCTCAATAATTATCTCTTCTGTCTGCTTCCGAATAGGCCTGTATTTTGCTAGCAGTAGAAACTTGTTTTGCAAGCGACCTTTTTTGTTTTATGAATCGGAATCTAAACAGAACGACGTTGTTTGTGGTAACACTTTACAATTAAACATCACAGTCACAATCTGAGATAATAAAAGAAAAAAAAAAAAAGGTCAGACAACGAATGAAATTTGAAAGACCATTTGAACGATTCAGGATAAGCTTGATGTATTTCTTTTTCATTTGTGGTCACAGAATGTATTTCCAAAAGAGATTTGTCATCGATCTGTGATAACTGCTGCCCGATAGCAGAAATCAAAAATGCTTTAACGGATTGAGCTTTAGTTCAATAATGAGTCAACCAGAAAGTCAAATTAAAGTTAAGGTTTCAAAACTGAACATCATTTGACAAGTATACCAAGTTAATGTTACTCCTAACTTGGCCAATGGTGGGCATAAAGTGAAGAGTTTTATTGCTATGAGTTGGGCCGGGAAGTACCACTAACAACCTGACCGATTCTATAGCCCTTATAGTATACGCTACAGAGGCTTCCTGTGTTTATACAAGTGGATTAGGAAGGCGTCGAATGCCCATGTTGAATCAGATAAAGTGAAACCACAATTACGTTTTGCTTTATAGAAACAGAACACTATAAAGACATAGGTCTAATGAAAAATAAATAAACATAAGAATGATAAAGCCCACACGGAACAACTATGTTAACACACGTACAATCGTTATGACCCATCGAAGCGCTCCGCACGTTTGAGTCATCTAAAACAATTTATATGTTCCATCTATGAAAGCAATAAACAAACACATACAAGATAAGAAACGGTTTTGTCAATGGCAGACTAGATAAGGCGAAGATTATTATCGAATGAATATTGATTACACACGCTTATAAAAAGCCGTAAAGAAAACATACTTACATCATATTACGTATCATATATATCGTATAAAGCATCATCTATACGACAACTCTTCGATCATTGATTCGTGGTTCAGCCGGAAACCGCGCATCTAACATCGATGGGATTCGAGTCATAATATCTTTACGACTTCAAATTTTTCTTCCTTATATGGCCCTCTGCATCGCTACATTGACGACCGCTTAAACAGCTGGCTCGTTTTCAGCCTTTTAGTCCGCAGTTCACGACAGATCATTTTGCTGTCTGCGTCGCCTATCTACTCTATTATGGCAGCATGCTATTTGACCTGCATTAGCACGCCGAAATTTACCGACTGGCCGGCGCGACTCTACCAGAGCAGGAGGCTGGCGTCTCCGGTCTACCCCGCCTGTCTATTTGATTGGCTATGCACCAACGGCATTTGACCGTGTGCCGTCTTTCTAGCGCGGTTCGTTTAAATGCTGGCGACGATGGTGGCGACTCCTGATAGAATAAAAAGCGAGACAAAATCAGGCGGTCTCTCGTTGAAACGAACGTAACAATGCCAGTCATTGATAGAGCTAACAAGCAACTGCTGCATGCTTCTCAGGTAAAGTCCTTACTGTTTGTCTTTGTCAGTACGCTGGCGGCTGTTGTTGGCTATGACAGTCGGCCAGGCAGTAGTCGCCAAGAATTCGCTGAACGAAATATTCAATACTGTACATGTAGGGTATGTTATTAATCACCCTAATTCGACTACTGCGCTTAGTTGCTCATGATGTCAGACAATGGATGGACAATGGAACGTTATCGACCCTCCAGTGCACTGTTTGGCTCCGTGGCCAAGTGGTTAAGGCGTCGGTCTTGTAAACCGAAGATCACGGGTTCGAATCCCGTCAGGGCCTTGGGTTTTGACCTTTTCGTTTTTATTGATATACACGTCTGCTTTGGGCTCAAGACTTAGCTAACAAGATATATAACGTTGGGGTGGGACGATTATTCATCGGATATTTATATGTATAAAATAATTCTTCCTTCACTAATAAGAAAATAGTCATTAAATGTGTTTTAGTCATCAGAATTAGTCATGTGCGGCTGTGCAAAAGGTACCCGGTAGAAAGTGACCTTTTCATTTTGTCTAAAAAATTAGGCTAAAGGTTAAAGGGCAAACTAATACAAGGCATTCAAGTAAAAATGAATGCGTTAATAATAACAAACGGAATGAACCGGAAATACATAACTAAAGCATATAATATTCACTGCTACATAATTACGGGCTATTCACGCAACACGGTCATAATTGTGAGAATAGGAATGATAGCCATTGATATTTTGGCCGACAGAGAGGAAAGGTTTGAAGCTAGGAAGGTTTCGTGAAATAGTCTAGTCACTTCGGTCGATAAGGTCAGATTCGTTTTATATAACACACACTAACTTCTTTTCAGCCCACACACGATAGATGATGTCAAAATAAAGATAGAAGATCTACATAAATCCCGTTACAGCGTATGCCGATAATATCTGGTTCATGTGCATTGCCACTAAGGCTCGTTTGGTCCCAGCTTTGTATACATATATCATAACCATGCGAGAAACTGCATCCGTAAAAGCTGGTATTCTTGGAATAATTGAGGCCAAGACTCTATAAACGTCGACATGTTTCGTTGTCTAGGCTTGTCGTTGTCGTATATCATTGATCATAGGCCCAATGTTACAATCTTATTCGTTCATTTATTGTGTTGTATGTAATTATGCTTATCAAAGGTTATAACCGATAAGATACCATTGCAAGGGACCGAGGATGATTCTTCCGATTGACTAAAAACATCTTGCATAGCTTAAGATAGTTATCACCCAGGCGATTCTTTCTTAATCTAGTACCTGTTTGTGATTCTGCTAGTTTTTGCTAACTTGTAGAGCACTATGATAATTACTTCACACTGATTACGTAGACAGGACGAGTTCTAGGAGTGATCTTTACCACATTTCGTTACAATGCCCCCTCGCGTGATATTCGTTTAGGTCAATTAGAAAAGCTGCGGTGAAGTACAAATTAGTAGATCGTGCGTACCAACCCGAAGATTGGGAGAAGATAGTTCGAGAGCCATTGGACGATTTTGAATTTAAAGTCATATTATGGAATAATGTTTGGAGTATTTACAGCTTTTCGGTTTAGGGTTATCTCTCAATGTGAGTTAGCTTTAATCGACAAAATTCACGCTATGATTTTATTGTATCTGGCTGTATGATATTTGTTGGGCTATATTTTTCACCTCTACGTTTTCATTTAATAATTAATTTCATTTAATTTATTCCAGGGTTAACAAACTGTATTGTAGCTCGCGATGGACAATCTCTGTCTCTGCAAAGCATCCCACCCTTGCCTTGAAGAGGTTATTTTTTTCTAGAGGAGCTTTATAATTATTTTATTTCGGGTTCTTCAGCACTGTCTGGGCATTTGTTCCCTGTTTTAATGTTACTATTTGTAAAAACTCAGCAAACATAATCGAGCTGCATGCATACAAAATAGCAATGTTATTTGCGTAGCTCTCTATAAATAGACGCTTTTTAATGAAAAGGTGGCTGTTTGCATAGTTTATACCTCAAAAAAAACTACACTTCGTTATAAACCTCTTAGGTCTCTCTGATAGTTTATACATTGCGTAATGCTGAACGTCACTTTTAACTCGATCTCCAGTTGAAGCGCGCACACAATTAAAACACAGGTCAATGGATCGTGTTATAAATAATGATAGGGAGGTGTACTTCCCTCTAGGCTAAACTTTCGCTAGAGTCACAGATTGAAAATTTAACAGTGTAGATATCTTGCGTGCAGTGGAAATTCTACATAACTATAGCGACAGAATACAGCCTGTGTCAACGTACTGTTAACCAAGGGTTTTTCGTTTCATGGATAGACAGGACTCCTGTCAGTTGGAAGACGTATAGAATAATTGAATAACAATTTCATGTTAAGAAACACGATGAAGATACAAGTTTCGGTTCTTTTTTGTGATTTCTTTACACAACATTGAAGTTAGTGAAGGCACCAGCCCTATGTTGTGCACTTGTTGTTATAGGCTGGTCGATCACGTATTTTACAATTTGATAAAGTCCATAGGCAGGCTGACTGAACACTCTCAATCCATTTCGACAGTTATATTATACGCAACATTAATGCCTTTGCCTGATCCGAGGGGTTCTGTTTTTTTTTTTTATCAACTCGATTCTATTAACGCCAAACTGCGCTCCGTAGTAGCTAATGCTTAACCGGGTGGATTTCTTAGTTCTAAGCATGATTAAGTCTCGATAAGATGATTACCGCTCTCGGATTGGTAGCTGTACCCGTCTTGGCGTATTTTGCCTAAGTAAAATTTGTTGTTAGCCATGCTTTACCGTCGTTCTCATTGACGAGATTGGCACGACCAAGCTGAAGTATCTGTGGCTTAAGTTGGTGGTTCGCTGGTGACAGCTGAACGTGTTGAGCCCACAAAGGAGGTAAACTTATGACCTAGAAATGGAAGGCGCTGCGACATACTATTTCAAGCTTCGTTTGGTTTTCTCGTGCCGTGAAAACTCTCGGATGTGAAGCCGGTAACGAAGAGTACACACGACCGCCAACACAAATAGACGCGCTAGCATTTAGGGTAAGTCACCTATTTATTAGACTGGACTAAACAACTCGAGTTAGTGTCGAAGCTAGCTCTTCTTGTTGGCATGAAAACAACTGTAGACGGGACGGGTCGGGTCGGGTCGGATCGGAGCTCTCTTTAACGTGACAACACTTAGAGATGCTGCAGATCTGTTACAACTGGATTCTGATAGTGCCACCCTAACGCACGAATCTGAGTCGTTCATCTTTTTCCGGTCGCCCTACAAGCTAATTTAAATATTCCGTTCATGCCAATGATAGATGCCTCATATTTCCTTGCTGCTCTTCAAGTATTGCCCATCGTAAAATATTGGCGCCACTTTTGAATTTTGACCAAACCTTCAAAAAGCTAGCTCAGTTATCTGGCATCCAGAATCGGCCGTCTTAGGCCTCACGCGTTCTCAGAGAACTAGTAAATAGAAAGAGGCACAGAATGACGCGATTCGGTTTTGATGTTCCCGCCGACGAGGCTGTAAGCCGACCATCTAAACCGCCAGGTGTTTTTCGAGGGTATCGATAGTGTACGAAGATCTTCAAGCGCAGATCGTCAAGTATTGGAGCCCCCGTCGTGAAAGACCCCAGCTCTGTTTACATGGGGAACGGAATGTGGGTAAGGGGACCCCGGAAGGGTCTCTTTGGTGGAGCCAGGACGGGAGAGTTTTGAAGGAAGCAAGATGAGCAGAAACGAAACGATTTGATACACAATTCGATTGGCCGAAACACAAACAGCGGCGACAGCTCCGGCGGCAACGGTAATGTCACTTTTACCAGCAGCCAAAGGCACTTCAAAGGCCAGCGGGCGCCGGATGGCGCGCCGGATCATTCAAAGCATATGCAACGGAGAAGCAACGTACCTTCTGACTAGCAAGCAGGCACATCATCGCCTGCTGAAAGCAATTTGAGGCCATAGAAAAAATCTTTTTGTATGTATACGAACAGGACATGTAGTAGGCGCAAGCGTTCGTTGTGCCTAGGTTAAAGAAGACAGTTTAAAGAAGCGAGGGTCCAAAGAAGAAGAAGGTGGAGGATTAGCAGAGTAAAAATAAAAAGGAAAAGTTGCCAAATGGCGAATACAGATTGACGCTTTCTAATGTCGAGATGAAACCACAGATATAGCAAGCTAACATTTAAAGAAAGAATTAAGTTCTATGTAAGTTAGTCTATCTAATAAAGGTTGGAAAATGTAATAGTACATTCAACGTATTGCGCAACCATACTGGGAGTATATAAATGTTTTTTCATAGTATGTCCTCTTCAGTCCTGTTTCTCTTAATACAAGAGATTTGATTAGTAAGTTAACTATAATTGTAACTTAAAATGTGTCTATAGTGTTCATAGTTTAGCTGCAAGAGATACTCATTTGTCTTGTTGGCAATCTGAATTTTCTTTCTCTTTCCTCCAAACTTGCTCTTGCCTCCCTATTGAAAGATAGACAGTTTTCTTCGCCAAACGCATGACCTTTACATTTGTATGCATGCCTATACGTATTATTCATTCAATAAATAAAGTCTTCAACGCAAGCTTATTATATTATATAATGAATTGCGGCTATGCCCATTATTATTAACCTTCCATAGAATCGCCTGGTTACCATTATATAAAATAACAATAACTTTTAAAATTTCAACAAATTCCTGTTAGTTTAGTGTTATTGGTTAAGGAAGGTCGATTCAAGTAATCATTTTGCTCCCGAGTTCGATTTAATAAAAACTTAGCAATCTAGGCTGCTTTGAACCTATTTTGCATATAAAGGTATACTCAGTAGAAACCTATTTCATGCATAGTCTACGCCA